AGGGGGCAAAGGAGTCAAGTGTATATGTAGCCTGGGAGCAAGCTCCCTGGTATGCTCTGCAGGGCTTCTGATATTTCGCGGAAAAAAAACGCAAAATTTCGCGGGATTTTCAGGGGCAAATTCGCAGAAAAATCGGCCGATTTCACGGGATTTTCGCGGGAAAAAAGTCAAAACTTGTGGAAAAATTGGCCGATTTCGTCGGATTTTCGCGGGAAAAAGTCAAAATTCGCGGAAAAATCCTCCGATTTCGCGGCATTTTAGCGGAAAAAGTCAAATTTCGAAGGATTTTTAGGGGCAAATTCATAGAAAAATCGGCCGATTTCACGGGGAAACTTCGCCAAGAAACAATCAGTAAAAAACAGCCGATTTCGCTGGTTTTTTTGTGGCAAATTTCGCTAAAAAACGATCAATTTTGCGTCGATATGACCAGCGTTGTTTAACGTTTTTTTAACAGGGATAATCGTTTGCTCCTTCAACACCGCTGCCAAATATCAGAAGCCCTGGCTCTGGTGGCGGGGCAGAAAGGAAAAGGAACTTGCAACTACGTCTCTGGAATATGAATTTCTGCTTCGAAAAAGTCGATGTGAAATGCTGATTGGCATAATGACGTCATTACCCTTGGCACATGTTTTTCAATGTTTGTTTACATTCGTGCTTGTTTCCACTTCACGCTGATTGGCAGAAATTTGACACTCCAGTTGACAGAATGCCACAGGGGAATTGGAGGTGGAATTCAAGTTCCAGAGACGTAGCTGCAAGCTCTCCGTCCTTTTCTTGCCCTACCACCAGAGCGCCTTGGAGAGCTTGTTCGCAGGCTACTGAATGTATAGTTACTATATGTATTTGGTACTGGGTTCAAGTCATAGAACATAGCTCTGATTCAGTCTGCATACAGTCAGTGGAACATTGTTGTAACAAAGGGCCAAGGGGCTGGCAAAATGTGTTCATGATAGTGAGGTTTTGTTATATAAAGGTTATTTTACTATTACTGGGGCAAAAAATATTGTTCGTTATACCAAGGACTTTGTTATGTGGAGGTTCATTCTATTCAGGTTCCACTGTATGTTAAGTCAGGGATTTTTTTTTAAACAATCAAAGGGAATCCAGCAAACCATACTTTGCTTATAATGTTTTGACGTTAATTTTTTTTAGCAGTAGAGGGAGATGTTATCTGTCTATCTGATGAGGAAGACACTGGAGAAAATGACTATGTACAAGTACTAAATAGTAAGACTTGTCATTTAGACTGCGGAAGATGATTATTTGTTTAAATCAGTTTAATTACAACCAACTGAATAAAAATTACTTTATTTTTTTGTTAATAATTATCAATATTCTCCTCAGCACTAGTACCAAACAGACCAGTAAGTGCATCTTGCCTCTTTGTTTGCACTCTTGCTTTCTCTTTCTTTGCAGGATAATTATTTATCATATACAATTACTGATTAAAAAAGCACTTAGGACTTGCTTTATAAATGATAAATTTTGTTTGCAGGATAATTATTTATCATATACAATTACTGATTAAAAAAGCACTTAGGACAGCAATGTATAAACACTATATAAATAATAAAACAAAGGATTATTATTTTTCTTTCAGAACAATTTCATTATTAAAGGTTCTAACAAATTTGATTGCCTGATTATGGTTTATAAGAAAACTCAAACCATCCCTAAACGGGTAATCAATCCCCTATTCACGTGACATTTATCTATTTGTTTTTGTAGATACTATTATTTTTATTCATTTTGCCTTGAAATTATTTTATTTATTTATTTTTTATTATTTTATGTATTTATTTACTGGTTATTAACCCAGCTGTATCAATCATAGGACAGACCAAAATGAAAATTAAAGAAAAATGTCAATGTGTTGCTGAAATGTAGATAAGCAAATGGAATGGCTACTAAAAGAGGTTTCATTTAAATGGATTTCATCCACAGACTCAAACATTAGCATTATATATTATGCTTATTGACTTTCTGATTGGCTGGTTATATAAAGGATTGATTCAAAGGTTATAATAATGGATTTATTGATTGAGTACATGAGTGAATAACTGGCTAACTTCATATGTTTGTTTGATGTTACTAAGTATCATTACTATAGATATTGATAGATTCATTAAAAAAAAAACAGTTTTGTTATGTGATTGACTGCAAGTAAAAATTAGGTATTAATTTTAAAAGTTTGTTGATTAATAGATAGACAGACAGACAGTCTCACTGACTGACAGACTGGTTATCGACATAAAGCTCAATATATTGCAATTGAGTTGTTTGATGGCCTGGGGCAGACTGGTGTCTTGTTGTAGTAGCTGATTAATCAATTTAATTTTATTGATAGATGTTAATTCTATCTTTGAACAGTTGTAGACTGCACTGGTATTGGTGACGATAGTGATGATGAGAACTATAAAGATGAAGAAATGACCACCATACTTTCATTCTTCAATGACTGTTCAATCCACGAGCTGGCTGCTGTTCCTAGTCTCTCAGTTAAAAAAGCTGAAAAGATCATTAAAATGAGGCCTTTTGATTCCTGGGATGACCTTGTAAGTTTTAATTATTATTAAGTAGATAAGTAACAGCATTCTGTAGGTACTATGGCAGCAGAAAACTGAAATCCAGAAAGCCATTAGAGAGAGGCTGGTTAAGTGAAAGAATTTGATTGTTGTTTACTTATTCCTTTTAACCTGGCTTGTGGCTCATGTTTTTGCATACCGTTTTCTTTTGTTTTTTTATTTAAAAATGTGCAAGTATACTACATTACCACTTGCTAATTCCCTGAGGATGGCCACTTAATAGAGGTTCAGCTGTATTAGATTACAATAACCTATAGGACAAATCAGGTACATTATGAAATGTTTTAATTTTTCTTTGAGAGTAGCAACTGTCATTGTGTTTAGCACTGGGCCTTAAATGAGGTTCTTGCTTCCTACAAAGTAGCGGGTATGAATGGTCACTCATGAAAGTGTGATCCTCCTTAACCATCCAGATACTCTATTTGATAGGTTTTAAAGCTGGATTCTGCACCAAACTTGTCATCACAGGTGATTATTATTAACCACTTCCTTACATATTGTTCTCAACAAAATTCATCACAATAATTGTGATGAATTTTTTGAAAGGGAGTCACAGGGTTTCTAGACTAGAAAATGTGATGCAGAATAGCCTGTTCCAGGCTCCGAGACAGTTGGGACCGTTGAATTGAGAGAGCGTGATGACGAAAGTATATTAATGGGAGGAAACTTTTCGCGTGCCTTTTACTTTCTCGTCTGCCCCACTCTCTGAGAGCCTGGAACAGGCTAGATGTAGAACTGATGTGACACGAGGATATTATTAACAATTATTCCACGCGTGTCGATATGAGATGGTAGATAGTTAACGAGGCACATAGTGCTGAGTTGACTATAATCATCTCACATCCAACAAGCACGAGCAGATTAATTTGTTGTTTTACTAAAAACGCCCACAAAATATCAAGAATTCTTCCAGACTTTATTTGTAAAAACAACTGATTTTCAGTTCGTTTTTAATTTTGAGCAGACATGCACAGTAATACCATATTTGGAGAAACGTTTTTATATAAACCAGGGATGGTTTGTTCAAAGCAGGGACTTGAGATAACCCAGGATGAGTGCAAAATTTAATTCGGATATGAAAGGTTTTAGAAGCAAATTCAGTTTAATTCTTTTTGTCTGCAATTTAATGATTTGATGCTCTATAAAGAATACAGAAAATTATCAAGGAAATGCTTTTGAACAGAAGTAAAAAGAATCCCAGATTAAAATTTAATCCTGAATGCTATAACTACTACTTATTTCATCCCCCTGTTATTTGCCTTTGTGTCATTAAAAACAAGAAATCACTTATTTACATGTAGTTAATAGAAAACTGCCAAAGCCTTTTGGATGAGCGTAAAGGTGTGGAGGATCTGATGAATAAGTGTGAAGAAATCTCAAGTAAAATCCAAGATATGCTGACATTAAGATTAAGTGTGAGTTGATTAGAAATAATATTCCCCTCCCTCTCCCTTCTGTACTCGCTTTTTCACATCTCAAGTTACCCAGCTATATTGGACCTCCTCACTGATGTTTCTCTCTCTCGCCTCACCTCGCAAACACCCCTTCCTCCCTCACCATCTTTTTTTCCCTTCTTACTCAATCGTTTTTATGCTCCTCTTACCCTTTCCCACTCACAAATGCTTCTCCTCTTAACACTGCGTTCCTTACAAACTAACACTTCTACTTAGAGATTATACTACTTAGAGTCAATTAGTCAATATTAAATGTTAATTGTGGTTGATTGGTACCACTTCTTGTTATTTTGGTCTCCACTTATTACAATATTACCATTTACATTCTACTGATTACTTAAAGACTGATTTGATTCCTTTCCTAGGCTATCAATGAGAACAGTTCTGTCAATGGAAAAATAAGAGGGACTGTGATAACTTCACAACCTAAATCTTTAAATAACAGGTACAATATGCTAACTAGGTACTACAGTTGTAAGAGGTGTACATATACCAACTCCTTGTTTATGTAGACATGGTAGTAGACTTCAAAACAGTCAAGGTTTTTTCATGAAAGTCCTTTTTTTTTCAAGGCACCCTCATGTGGTTTTCGCGCAAAGCGCGAGAGCTTCACGACGTGTATGGCGAGTGAAAAAAACGCGTATTTTTCGCGCATCTCCCAAGTGTTACATTTTATTTTTGCCCGAGAGCTCGCTCCAGGTCTTTTGTTTGTCCACTCCCGTGTTCTTGACCTACGTACAAACAGAGGCTGTTTTGCAGTGTGGTATAGCTGGCAAATACAAAATGTAATGAAGAAATAAGGTGCACCCAGTAAGGTGAGCGATGTGCGTGTGGGAGGAGGACATAGCAAATTCTTCTCTCTCATGGCCAGCACTACCTTTTTTATCATTGTGCCCAAATTTAGCTTGCAGCCTTCAGGCTGCAGAGCAAGATTAATGGAGGGGGGAAGGGCAGGGGGAGGAGCCTCTCCCTTTTCCCTCCTTTCTCTTGCCGGTAATTGGCACCTTTTTTCCGTTATAGGTTTTAGTTACCAAGATTCAACTGTATTTGCAGATTGTTCGCTTCCTCTATAAGTTAGCCACTTAATACTGATGATTACTGACTAAAACTCTTCATTTTCATTAAGCCTTCAGCTGAAGCCATATCAGTTGACAAGCCTTAACTGGTTAGTTCTAATGCACGAACAAGGAGTTAATGCAATTTTAGCTGATGAAATGGTAAGCAGTGAAAGTTATTATGATGGATTCTTGATCAAAGACCAGGAATATAAGCAAGCCAAAATAGCCTGAGAAAAAAAATCAACCTTTCGCGACGCCATCCCTGGTTTCTACGCAAAATTTAGTGATGTATGAGGAGCGACTGTAGAAGTTTCAAACTGATGAGCTGTTAACAATGTGTTCTGCACACTGTGTTTCTAGTGTTTTTTTTTAATTGGTTTTGGCAAAATCAGTTTAGATCGACCATATTTAATTCTTTTACAAGTTTAATGCATTTTTCGCTTTTAGAAGCTATTTATAGCGTTGTATTCGCTTTTTTGTCACCATTTTTGAAAAATATACAAGAAGTTGAACAGTGAAACGTTGACCTTGTCAGTCACACTAATTCCAGATGTCTTGTATTTGAAAAACAGTGCTGAGTAGGTGAGTTGTGTTAGCGCAGTGTGACAGTGTCAGGCAACAAGGGTTTGAAGTCATACTCGACGCTCTGACACCTTAATCAATTAACCTTTTCAGATTACTTTTAATTTATGTAGTCCAATTTTTAGCCAGTTTTATTGATCATCCTACAGTGCAAGAGAATATCTTGAGGATGATGGTCAGTGTTTAACCTGCTGTTACTTACATGTACAACTGGAGGCTAAGCCAATTAAATGTAAAAAATACCGGACGCTCTTGCATTTTTGAGGAAAAATGAAATGTAACGAAATGTAAAGTGGGCGGATAAGCAGTAACACTGACAAAGACGGCTGCTGATATTCATAATGATAAAAGTGTTTGATTTTGATTTCTCAATCTTAAAAGCTCATCACGTTTTGCACCCCATTATGACTACCACTTACGACCCATCCCCCCGCCCCCTTATCGAACGCACTACCCTAATTTGCAATTATTACTAATTTTAGCTATAATTTCAACAAGTTCCTCTTATTTCAGGGCCTTGGGAAGACTGTTCAAGCCATTGCATTCCTTGCTCATTTGTGTGAAACTGGAGAAAAAGGACCGCACTTGATTGTTGTCCCCGCGTCAACCTTAGGTATTTTAAGGCCTGGCCTATCATTTATTTTACCTTTCTGACTACAGTTTATCGTCCATGTAATGTACTGCACGGAATTATTTAAATTTTTTTTTCTTTAGTGCATGTACAGTGTACAGTAATGTGATCCTTAAACCTTTTTACGTGGATATCAATGATGTTTTCTTTTTAGATAACTGGTGCAGGGAGATCAAAACCTGGTGTCCATCAATGGACTTCTCTATGTATTATGGTAAGTTAACCTGTTTATTTTGAGACAAGCTACGGAGATACCGATATACACGTAACATACAACCAAGGGACCAGTCTGTTGTATTGAGATACTGTATATCTTGTATTTTGCTTTAATTGGCATGATCTTTTTCAACCGTGGTTTTCATTTAATTCCGTTGTTTTTAGTATTACTGTGGAGAAAGTGATCCGTGAATGACTTGTATAGTGAGATGTACACGTCGAGAGGTATAAAGACTACCTTCTGCAAGTCACAGCACAAACGTTTAAGCACCCCGCCAGAGTCTTACAACTAACGTAAAAAGCTTTCCCGGTCAGAACATCAATTTTTCTGTTGTTGATGTCACGAACGAACCTCATTTAAACCGTCGAACTCAGCCATGAGCTGAATTTAGGAGGGTGAAATATTTAACGTTCTGATTTCTCGAAATTTTATCCGTCACAGGAAGTCAAGAAGAGAGACGTTTATTGAGGATTGAAGCAGAGTTTAGACAGTTGAAACCCCAGATTGTTATAACAACGTAAGAGAAATCTATCTCTTAAGCGAATCTATGTGTGTAAGAAAATCTTGGCTTAGCAATGGCCCATTAGTTTTACAGATTGTTTTAGTATTTATTGATATGATTTAGCAATGATATAGTTATTATTCGACAGAAAAGGAAAGGCTTGATTTTAGGTGATTTTCTCATTTTCTTTAAATATTTTATCTCCTAAAATGGGTACCAATGTTAAAGAAATGAGTAACAATATTTAATCAAGCTAATTTACTTTCCTAAAGTTACTCCGTGGCAAACGGAAATGATGAAGATCGTAGATTTCTTCGGAAGCTAAATTGTAACTACCTGGTACTGGATGAAGGTCACATGCTAAAGAACATGCAATCACAGAGATACCAAGGACTAATGAGAATGAAGGTAAGATGCATGGCGTCCTTCACTGATGGAGAAAAAAAAATTGAATGCGCGGAAGATGACATTTTGTCCTGGTGGGTACTCCCTATAAAGGCCTATACGGGGAGACTCCGCCGGAAAGGAATACCTTTTCCAGGTTTCCGGTTTATACAATTGGTTTTAATGAGTTATCCTTTGGATAGTGAAAATTTATCCGGTGGATAAAGGACGCTAAATCCAACGTTTGAATAAATCGTCGATTTTGCGATTTTTCGCAGTTCTTAAATGGGCGTGAATAAGAAAGGCGGAAAATCGTCCTTTAACGCGACAATTCGTCCTCTTGCGAAAAAAATCGCCAATATTTACGATGAACGTAAAAAATCGTCGATCTTGCGACTTTTAGCAATTAGTGCGAATTTAGTAAACGTGAGGAAGAACAGTGGAAAATCGCAATAAAGGCGACAATTGTCTGTCGTGTTGTTGGTTTGTTAAAAATTCCGACAAGACAATCACGCCGACGACTTCGTAAACGCGGAAAACCTCTGACATAAGTCGCGTGAAAACTTGACATGTAGATTAGGGGGAAGGTCGGTTTCGGAAGGTTGTCGCTCAGGGAGATTCGACTATATTTGCACTAGTTCGGCGTAATTGACATGAAATTTTACGGATATTTTCTTATTTATTCGTCCGCTTTAATTTTATGTAGGCCCAACGACGACTTCTTCTCACAGGAACGCCTCTACAGAATAACTTACTGGAGTTGATGTCTCTTCTAAGCTTTGTGATGCCTCGTATGTTCGGTGAAAATTTTGAAGGAATTAAAATGCTCTTTTCCAACTACAGTAAAATGGTACGTTTTTTGTTGTTCTGTGTTTTCCATTCTTTCATTTCTCTCTCTTTCAATAACTTCAGGAAAGACGGAGGAGACCATGGCAATGATATGACCGATGATGACTGCAGACTCTACAGACTTTTTGTTACCTTCAAACGAGTTATTAACGAACTGAAGCAAAGCTGACAACAACAGTGTGATTAACAATAACGACAGTTATTACTTTGACAAAAGACCGATCGAAACGCACCAATCACATTTAGAGTCTTAATTTTTCATAGCCAAGTGTCAGACAAACAATAACATTGTGAGTTAATTGACCAATCAGGTTAATAACCAGAGTATAAGACCATCAACTGACGTGATACAACTCACTTTGACTCTGAAGATGACTACCACACAGGTTGTCGAAACGTCAGTCATTGTCATTAACAGTCCTGTTCAGGACTACGCTCACCCGGACGATCATATTCCACTTACTTACGGGTACTGGCGTTATACTTGTTTCGTCACTTGTTAGTGAAAATCTGGCTTAGAAAAGTTGAGCTCTTAATGTACAGATCCCTTTGCTTGAAAACATGTCTGTTTTCATTTTTATCCACAGAGTGGTGAACCAGGGAGTAACTATGAGAAAGCGACAGTCGCGCAAGCTAAACGAATCATGAAGCCTTTTGTACTTAGAAGGCTAAAGAGTGATGTAAGTTCATTGTTTGTTAAGGGGAGTAGCAACACTTGTACGAGCTTTGCGCGTACTGTGTCTGTACCATACCCTCACCTTCACCTTCACTTCAAGTTTCACCTTAGCTTAGTGAAGGTAATAGTGAAGGCCATGAATGTCTAATAGGGAAGATATTTTTCTAACGGCTTACTGAGTGGCCCCTACTCCCGGGTTCATTGCGACGCGTGTTGTGGGCTGTTAGAAGCTCACAAAACATTTCTTATGAAAAGCGATGGCATTTCTATTTTGACGTGAATTAGTAGCTCAAAGAATAATTAGAGTTGGAAAAGAATAGTAAAATCTAAGGGACAACTTGGGAAACATCTCGTTGTGCTTGTTTTCTGTAACTGTAGGGCAATTTTGCCCCCGAGCAAGTTGCGAACGCATCTTAGGGATTCTCAAACGTCTGTTTGCCATTTTCGTTGTTAGGTTCTACAGCAGCTTCCAGCAAAGCATGATCACGTGATTAAATGGGAGTTGACCGAACGTCAGAGAGAGTTATACAATGATAGCTTCGTGAACTGTTCAAAACAATTCAAACAGTCAGGTAAGAAAGTCATTGTTTAGCCACCCCGTTTTTTACAATTCCAGAAGATAACATTGATCTAATTAAGCTACGTGTAAACGGACGCAACAACTCCCAACATTTTTGGCCAAAAATGTTGAGTCCGTTTGCACCGGGCTCTTAAAAAATGTTACCAGCTTAAGTAATAAGGGGCCACTTTACGGTGTTAATGCTGTTCAGTTTAATTTCTTGTCAAAATTGTTTAAAAGTTGTGGCTACATTCAACGTCGAAACCTGCCTCTGCCGACCGAACTTTCAACACAGCTCAGCAAATTTAAAAGTTAAACAGGGATTTTGCGAATAAGGTGGACAATGTCTTTTCCTTTTCCCTTTGCCGAGAATGTAAAGATTCGCACATTTGACGTAGCAGGGAAAATGTTGCCACATAATTTACTTTAGTGCTCCTTCAGTAACATTGGTTATCTAGTGTCCTATTCCGTATAAATTTTGAGATTTTACTTTTAACTTTTAAAGCAAGTCATGGATTAGTCCTGTCTTATATTAGTGAACTTGTTCCTGAGAGTTAACCTTCAAGATGTACCCTCCGGCCTTGCAGATGCCTGGCAGCAGTATAGTACTGTCATACCCGCCCTGAGGGTAACCTGGGCGACCGTGCTTTGTTTCTTCGGCACCTAAACTATGGAACGGTTGATATAAATTTCTAATTATCTGGATATGAAATGAAAACAGTGTCGAATGTTTGATATAACTTCTCAAATGATAAGCCTTATTGACGGTAGTGATTTGGCTTTGTCTCTTCTTCATGAATAACTTATGTGTTTAAGGAATGTCTTTCTTCACATTTCAGGTAACAGCTCACAATACAATAATATTATGATGACCCTACGTAAAGCGGCGAATCATCCTCTGTTACTGCGTAGTCTTTACACGGACGAAACGCTGCTGGAAATGGCCAAAAAGTATTGTAAGGTATTAACAGATTATTTTATCTAGTTAAGTGGCTTTGTGAGCCTGCTCACATATTAAGTGGTAGTCTCTTGGTGTTGCAGACGGGTGCAGTCACCAAAATGACGTAATAGAATACCGTAAGATTCCGAAAATAAGCACCGGGGCTTATATTTTTCAAAGGCCCTTTTTGAGGGGCTTATTTTTGGAGGGGCTTATATTCGGAGGGGCTTACCTACGGAGGGAAATTTGCGTTTCAAAATCGATTTGGCTAGCCATATAGTTGGAAGTAAGTTTATCGTTTTTACTTTGTTTTACTTTGTATTTGATGGCAATTTTCCAAGTACAAGCCCCCGGGTAGCTTATGTTTGGAGGGGCGATTTAACGGAGGGATTTTGCGTTGTGAGTTTGGGGGGCTTATATTTGGAGGGGCTTATACATGGAGGGGATTATTTTCGGAATTTTACGGTAGATTGAAAAGACGCTGAACAATACCCACACAAAACAAGAAGAAACACCATCAGAAATCAAGAAACACCCTCAGAAGCATAGCAATACAAAACTGATTTCGAACTGAAATGAGAAAGCTGTGTTTATTTGCGAAAAATCCGAATTTGAATCTGAATGCGTTCGGTCATTATTTTCAAGAAGGCCTCGAAGCTTAGGCATTATCCTATAAAAAAAATACATGAAAAAAGTCTTGAAAATTAACCCTCTTCCTTGCACAGCTAGCTCTCTCCGATTTGCACGCTTTTCTCAATAAATATGCCCATTAAATGGTCGCTGCCAAGAGTATTGCGTTAGGAACCTGAAATTTCTGATTCCTTTGTAACCAGATTGAGATTAAATCCACCAAATACTAGCTGATTGCGTATTTAATGGATTCTAAATCGTCTTTGATTTATGTCCAGCTAACACTGAAAGATTCGAGTTTCCTGATTCGGATTGTTTGATTTTTTAATAGGACCCCGCCCACCGCGACTCGGAGCCTGATCTGGTATTTGAGGACATGACAGTCATGTCAGATTTCGAACTTCATAATTTATGTCGCGAGGAGAGGGTAAGAGAAAACCACGAACTTTCTACTAAAATATTGGAAAGGCACAGTACACCGCCACCTGCACACTTGGCCAGTTGGGAGAGCGCCGGTCTGTTGAGCGGGAGGTCGCGGGTTCAAACCCCGGCCGGACCAATACTCAAGGTCTTTAGATAATTGAGAAGAAAGTGCTGCCTTTGTTATGACATTTGCAAACGGCTCTCAGACTTTTTAGTCTTCTCGGATAAGGACAAAAAATCGTAGGTCCCGTCTCACGGCACTTGCACTTACCTGGTTCTTGTGGGACGTAAAAGAACTCACACCACTGTTCGAAAAGAGTAGGGGATGTACACCCTCGGTGGTGTGGTCAACCTTTCCTGGTCTGGGTGGGTTATCGGTAAGGAGAGATCTTAATGTAGGGATAACCTCATGATCCTCTTTCAGGGGTCGTAATGGCTACCTATAAACAGTGTATGTATGTATGTACATCTTACATATATTACAGAAAATACAGAATAAGTAAATTTCCTGTATCGTGATTTACAATTTATAAATTTTGCTACAGTTATTTCTGCAATCTTCTTGGGACTTCTTATCTATCCGTCAATCCAAGATAGCGACCAGTTGGAAGTCACGTCACGTGGTCTATCTGTTGTAGCTGTAAATCATTTTAAAACCACGAATTGAAAACAAAACATGCACTATTCCTTTTTTACCAAACACATATGTAGTCATATTCTGTAATTCATAAGTCCTGTTTCCTCTTATTTATCCATTTATCCCACAGAGACTGGCCGATCATTGTCTTCAGAAAGAAGTGTTAATAAAATCAGGAAAGTTCGTCTATTTGGATGCCCTGTTACCTGAATTAAAGGGAAAGGTTTGTGTTTGTTGTATTACAAAAACAGATCTTCTGGCAACTCGAGTGAGAAGTTACTTCAATTTAGTTCGACGTCACGGCTCTGGCTATTAAGCTTTCATGCGCGCAAGATTTCAGAACGGGCGGAGTCAGTGTTTTCATCTTTATGTGTGAGATAGATCATTGATTACTATACAAAGCAGCAGATAACACAGCGTTACTGACGTATTTTCGTTCGTTTAGAATTGTCGCGTGCTACTCTTCAGCCAATTCACCATGGTGATGGATATTATAGAGGTCTATCTATCAGACAGACGACACCGCTACTTGAGACTAGACGGACAAACATCAGTAGTGGAAAGGTATCTACTTAAACAGTTTCTATATGTTCAAGCTTCCTAGCTACAGTCTTAGAGAAAAATGTTAAGAAAAATGGACTTTGCCATGCCTTTTTTTTTTGTCAATATAAAGCTCTGCGCTGTAAAAACTGCTAAGGTTAGAGAATGGAATTTTACTTTTTTTGAAAAATTTATGTTGTCTGTAGTGTCCCAAGTACTCTTGACACAAGTTCTCTTGAAATGTGCGTCAAGTTCACTGATATGATTTTTCTTCTCTACAAGCTTGTCATTATTATCGTAGAGAATTAGTCCTTGCCTCTCCCGACAGACCACCGAACAAAGAAAAGCTTGCAACATAGCATGTGGCGGGTCTGTGTGCTACACTTCCCACTGGTGAAATTCGAATTTATCCTGATGGGAGAGGGAAACTTTACACAGGGCTAGCACTGGCTAGCGCCCCTGTAGTCTAAAACGGCAAGTACAACCTTCCCCTCCTTCATTGGAAAGTACAAATATACCTCTTTGACGGGACTCTGTTTCTTTAATTTTCGCAGACAAGGTCTTATTGACAAGTTCAATGGCGATGCTGATATCTTCGTGTTTCTCCTTTCGACCAAAGCAGGTCAGTTCAACATAAAGAATAAACTAGTCAAAACTATATAGCGTAGAAAATTAATGGTTGAACAATGAAAAACGTCTCGGGGTTTTACACCGAGGCAATCGCTGATTTTAGCTGCAAGTTGAGGTACCCTAACCGTTTTATAACTTATTGATATTCATTTTCAGGGGGCCTAGGAATTAACTTGACGTCGGCAAACGTTGTGATTTTACACGACATTGATTTCAACCCGTATAACGACAAACAGGCTGAAGACCGCTGTCATAGAGTTGGTCAGACAAGGTACTGTAGCTTATCACTGATGTATGTATGGTGCTATGGACATAACTGTATAGAATCCATTACTTCCTAGGCTGACTAGCCCCCAGTCTTCTCTTATCCTTTGTACGCAGCAGTGGATCGATTGCGGAGGACTAGCACGTATGTGCATCTCCGACGCGCTAACCTCGTTACTGGGGACGGGTCTGCAGGTGTGATGAAAACGCATTGCATCTGGGGATCCCCGGGCGAATAACTCTCATACTTCACAGCATTACTTGCGACCCTGTTTATTATAGCAGTCTCCCAAAACCTTCTTTACTTTCAACGACAGGTAAGATGGAACTGGAAACCAGATTGCGAGCTACATTTTAGATAATTAGACCTTCAATTCTATAGTCTTGATCGCGCAAGTACTCTTGAAGTTTGCTAGAAAGTACGTTGGAAAAAAGAAAAAAACATCAGTGATTTTGTTACCTCTGCCTTACGCATGGAAATCCCCAAAGACGCAACATATTTCATGGCATACGTCCCGTAGAACGCAAAGATCGATCGATCTGAACATGTGCATTTGTAGAAATATCTCGTTTGTGTAATTTCTGTGGCAGTTATTTGTATAGGTAATAGCATGATTTGTAGTGATATTTGGCATAAATACTACGAGTGATATTTCAAAATTGTTATACGTAATTTCACGAGCCGTTGGGCGAGTGAAATTTGAGACAATTTTGAAATATCACGAGAGGTATTTATGCCAAATATCACGTACAAATCCTGCTATTATTTGTTTATACTACTACCCGCAAAAGGTTTGTAATTTTCACATGTAGGTATTTCAAATTAAGCTGAAATACCACTGCTCTAAGCCAATCAAATTGCAGAAATTTCTCCTGTAGTAGTATAATGGTTGTTATTTAACGATGCATATTTCTTTTAGCCTTTGTTGTTCTTTACAATAGAAGGACTATATTTTAATTTCAGTATACTGTAATACAGAGTTTTGGAGTCTGTGTTCAGACTAACTCTCTGGTTACATATAAGCCAAAGCATTTTCAATCTTTGACTCGTTTCTTTTTAACTGGGTGTCGTTGGTTCTGGACTGGGACCCATGATTTTCAACAAGATGAGTCCCAGGACTCACATAACTATTCGTAACAAAATCACTGAAACATTATCGTTATTGTAACACTAGCAGGAGACTAATATAAAAGCAAAAGAATTCATGTAAAGTGCATCCTTTCCTTTACGACAGAGAGGTCACTGTGTATCGCCTTATAGCTAAAGACACGATAGAAGAAGCTATTCTACAATGTGCACAGAGCAAACTCAGATTAGAACAAGACATGGCCGCCTCAGATAAGGGTACGTCCTAATCATACATGTCAGCTGCTTTTTATCTTGTCGAGTTTAGTGTTCACATACTTTAATTTGCATTTCATTTATAACTGAAAATATTTCTTCTATATCAAGATCAAACCGTGAAGGGTTTACCAGAGGTTTTTCGAATTATTTTCGTTGCAATTTGGACAAACTATTTGTCTGACTTTTCCTTTCGGCTGTTGCTGTTCTTGAAAAAATCGCGCTTTTTCAATGCGGGACGTGTAGTTTGCATATTAAAAAGATTGAGACGTCTAGCTCATGATTTAAGCATTGGCAATAAATTTTATCGTTTTGAAGAAAAAAAATGAAATTTACGCTTACGCCTCGTAAAGTACAACCGTATTTGAAATTTCATTGTACAGCTAGCGCCAGCGTTTATTTGCTGGTAAATCGCTTCCATTGGTGTCTAACTCGTAATTATTTCTATTCTATTTTGGCAGACGAATCAGCCTCTCCAAAAGATGTTTCAGAACTGCTACAGGAGGCTTTCAATAACGTTTCAGGAACAACTGAACCCTGATGATTGCTTTATTTGTACAGTCAACGTAACTTTCGACTCCGAATTTTACTCTGAATCGGTAACGAATGAATAATAACTTTCTGAAAGGGGCAAAAAGGAAGACCATTATTTTCAAATTTAATTAAGATAAAATTAATATATATAGAATTGTTATATCCGTATCAAAAAAAATAACCTTGCCGACTTATTTACGGCAGTCTAGTAACTTTGTTTCAGATTTCATATGTAACGACTAACAACAAAATTTTTGCATCATCTAATCAACTGAAACAAAGCAAATGCATAAAAAGCGTTTTCAACTCTGCACTGGAAATCGAACATGTCTTCGGCACCAATCTTGCACTTGTTACGCCTGTATGCTTCGTTTGGTCAACCGCTGCCAGTAGAGACCGCAGTCTCATCATTCTATATGAAGTTCGCACCAGCTGTGTTATAAAACGTTTAAGTTTAACTTTTGACTCGTTACGTTGGCGTTATTTAAAGAAAACAGCCACCACACTTTTTAAAACTATATTTATTTCTAATGGCAAAAGATAACGTTTTTCTTATGACCGTGCTAAATTACACAACATTAGCTTTTGTTAATGCTCTCTTCACACGAGGTCGCGCGTTATGTGAATACTTTGTAATGTATGTCAAGAAATAATTTGTAAAATAACTCTACGTTTGTTTTGTTTAGTCAAAATAAAGTATATTTTCACATAAAAATTGGCTGGAAGATTAGGTTAGCCGGACATTTGTTCAAACCGTGCCCGGAGATTGTTCACCTTGTCCTTGGTACATGAATTGGAAGGGGTTCTTGAGGTGTTGTCCTTTATTGTAAGCGACGTCCCAGCATCTGCCCTATAAGTCCTCTTAGGAGGCTCCTTGCTTAAGGAAGATGTCCCTTGTGCTCCTTGCTTCTCAAACTGTTTTTGTGGTATTTGCCTTTCGGCGCTTGATTCATTTCTCTTAGGCCGACGGACTCCAGGTCGCTTTATCCTTGTTTTCGTTGGGTTTGCAAGGTGTGGTGAATATTCGCCTGCAACAAACCAGAAGGTTTGTATGTATTTTGAAGTGTGGCCTGCTCGATTTTGAAAGATAAAGCAAAGCTCCCGTTTACGAAAAATAGACCTCTTTAGCTTGTATGTTTTGTTCTCCCAATACAGATCATGTGATAATGCTCTAGAGAACTGTTTCTTTTAAATTTCGTCTTATTCACGTGCATATCTAAGCACAATTTATGAAAAGACAAAGGGTCAAGTTCTCCCAGGACCTCTAATATACGCCCCGTTAACATGAAAAGAGGGTACTTCTCCTATACATGAAAGTAATTAACGTTTTGACTATCCAGAAGCAATACCACTCTCTGCATGAGGCTGCCTACCTTTTGGCCAGCGCCAAGGATCACCCGCTGGACAAGGGTGACGAAGGCTCTTGGGAGGAGACTGATCTAGAAGCTGGAATTTATTCTTTTATTTTGGCGCATTCGCGGAAGCTCAGGGACAGCCGATTGGGGTAGGATAAAAACAGGCGAATTTACACGGAGAACTGGAGAGCCCTGGGCACGTCATTACTTAAAATTTGAAAAACCTGTTGATAGATCAGAAAATGGATTTTCGGCCAATCAGAAGCAGGGGACTTTTAAGCTTTTGCAACTGTTTGGTAAGAATAAGTGTCCAGGGGCTCTTCGTTCTTCTCATAAAGTTTGTGTGAAAATGAATACTCTGAGGATGATTTTGGCGCGAATTGAACCGTATATAGCCAAACGTATGACCCCATTAAAGGACATTTTCCGGATTCATAAACGTTGCCGGAATGGTCACGTTAAGGGAATGGTCACGTTAAGGGAATGTTCACGTGGAGGTGGGGAACCCTAGGCTCTTAGGTGGGTAAACCCGCCTGTCCATATAATCTCTCATTTTAAGATGAACACGTTGCCCGGTCTGCTAGACCAGGCATCAAAGGTGGGGCTACCCGTGTGACATCAATTTCGTTGTCTTTACCAACTAACTGCCTTTGGCGGAGGCTTTGCATCATTGAAATAAATCATTTCAATTTCCTTTGCTTTAATTATCTTAGAAAAAGAAAGTGATTACAAAAGTGAGAGTAAAAGGGCTTTTTAATTTAACTTCCCACCTAAGTCATTGAAAGAAGAGGTATTCTCCTCTCGATTGTCTTCCTCCCTTATCCAAGAACTCCTTCTTGTTAAAGTCGCTCTGTATGAGGACGAAGGTGACAATCCCGCGGCCGCCTGTTGCTGATCCCGTTGCCGTCCCATAATATCTTGAGATTCACTGTCAAAGAAAGATTTCAAACTACCGTATTAGATATAGCCTATATTACTACTCTATGATGAAAAAAGCTCCTTTCAATAGGACAGGGACGAGCTGGAAAGTGAAAGGATGAGATTAGCACGGTATTTTTTTATGTAGAGCTACACGGACTTCTTTTTATGTCTGAGAACATGATGATGAATGATCCAGATCATTCGGCCTGAAACTTAAATACTGTTTCTGCGAAAGCAAGGGCGCCAAGAAAGGGGGGTGGGGATTACTCCCTATAACGGCCTTTACGGGGAGGCTCCGCCCGAAAGGGGTGTCTTTTCGGACTTCAAGTATGTCACCAAGAAACGTTTTGAAAAAATGCATTCACCAATAAGCCTTTTTTTTTTCAAAAATACCATAACACTTTTTGTTGTTCCTCCAAAATTTTGCATAAGCATTGTTTTCAATTTCTTTTGGGGCGATTTCTCCCAAGAGAAATTGAAAACAAAGCTTATTCTAAATTTTTGAAGGACGATAAAGAGTATTATGGTATTTTTTTTAAAAGGCGTATTTCTCACTTGCACATCTCCCAAAATGCACCTTGTTTGACCCCCAAAATTTTGCTTAAGTATTGTTTTTAATTTCTCTTGGGACGGCTGTAATACTCAGGAAAATAAAAAACAAAGTTTGTGCAATTATTTATTTATTTATTTTTTTTCGGGGGGAAGGGGTCAAAACAAGGTGTATTATAAGAGATGTGCAAATGGCGAATTCTATTTTGAGGGCGTCATTTCTTTTTTATCTATTTAGCATTTATTCAATTATTTATTTATTTATTTATTTATTTATTTATTTATTAACTGGCTATTAAGCCATGTACGTCTTACAAAACTCAGCTCAACTTACCTATCAACTCGAACACGTTGCAACACTTGTCCGCTAGCGCTGTGAAACGCCTACAGGTAGTCAACAAAAAAAAGAAACAAACCTTTAGAAACGCCTTCTAGTTTTTCCTTCTGGAATATGTTCCGTTAACTTGTTATTTCTGTTTTTGTTTTGATTTATCTTCGACACTGATCTCAGTGTCGGGTACGCATCGGAGCCAAGCTGCTGATTTATGTCTTTTAGATCAAGCAGTTGTTCTCGCAGTATAACCTGCGATCAGGCCGGTTCTTTTTTTGTGCATGCAATCCTCCTGAAAAAAAGGAAGAAGAAGAAACGACGAGAGCGATGGGACCCACCTCTAGAGATTTACACAGCGAGAAGTTTTCATCACCAACATCGTAGAGCGATTCAAATCCAGTCACTTGGCGATTTTCTTTAGACATTTTAGAGAATGCATTAATTATAAGGAACTATGAGTTCATCCATAGCAGATTTACCGAGAACGCGCGTAAAACGTCTGTTTTCATTGTGACGTTAATGATTGACACAATTCGATTGCGCGCTTTTTCACATAAAATGCAAAACCAAGAGAGGAAGAGAGTATAAAGTAGTAGCACATAAAATGCAAAACCAAGAGAGGAAGAGAGTATAAAGTAGTAGCAATATCAGGAGAATCGTTCGATTTGTCTGATGAAGAATTTGCTTTCTTTGTTAATGGTCACTGCGCTGTTTGATTCACTTTAAGTGTGTTTTTTGGGAAAATCTAAATCCGGATTTCCGGATCCAAAAATGGATTTTGCGTTTTTTGGGCAAATTCAAAAACGAATCGTGAATCCATAAAATCCACATTCTGGGTGGATTCTTCGGATCAAATCCAAATCCGGATTTTTGAGATTCACAATCTGCGGAGCGTTTTTTTTGGTAAAGGATTTGAAAAAAGTATTTTTGACAAGCGGTTTTCCGAACAAAAATGGTACACAACAGATGCCGTACATGTATAAATCCTAAGTAACTGAACATATGTTGATGGCGCCTTAACTTTTAACCATTAGTTACATATCATTCCATAACTGTCATCTATTACATTCGTAGACTGTTTTTAAACCCTTACTTGTTATGTTTATTGTACGTATGTAGTGTCTGTTTACGCCGGTTTATTTTCAACGTAATTAAAAAAAAATTCATCGGCTTCAATTTAAAATTCTTATAAGTTTACCATCCTAAGGTGTATTCTATTCGAGAAACGTTTGTGTTTCAAACCGAAATATCTACATTTCGTATATTCATACGTGGTTTATGTTGCTTTTCCTTCTTGTCTTCACGAGGATCAGTTTGTTGTTTTAATTTTTTCTCAGTTTTCTCATCACGAAGAGCGCGAGGACATGCCGTTAACATGGTAAATGATCCTTTTTCGGATCTTCCGTTTTTTAGGTAGTAAAGAATCCATATGATCTGAGATCGGAAATCCGCTTTTAGATTCTCCCCAAAAAAACCGCAGCCAATAGGCCACTTCCGAGTTCCAAAAACTCTCACTTTCAAAATGAGGCCAAGTGTACAACCTTTCTTGTGAAAATGAGTTTTATTTGCATGAGAATGAAAAATTATTTCCATATCAAAGGCTGAGCACTTAACCTCGTTTTGATACAGAGGCCCGGGGGAACTCGGAAATGGCCTATTAGTCTTTGTTTCCTAATACAGTGGAACCTGACATAGCGAAACTCTATATAACGATCGAAGTCCTCGGTATAACGAACTATTTTCTTTACAACGGTAATAAAATGTTATAAGGTGAAGAGCCTCATTATATTGACGAAAACTCGTTATAGCGGACAAATTTTTTTGCCAGTCTCTTGGCGCGGTACTGTTAATTTTAGTAAGATCCCATCCATAAGAAATTGATCCAAAGCGATCTCAGTAAGCATAAGTCGCGGGCTAAAGACAACATATCCTCTGTTATACCAAAATGGTTATCACCCTGTTAAATTAAGCATGATTGGCCAGGTCGATGATCGCTACAATCACCAAGCGAAAAAAGTCAAGCTCAAGAATAAAATAGACTGAAGTCTGTCTCTTAATTTAGTCATTGTCGCACTACCTTGCGATGGAAACCAACCTCAAATATATATGAACCATCTAAAGCATGCTTCTTTATAGCCGGTAAGATGTCTAGAGAAAGTCCAGTTGCACATCTGAACGATCGTAGCAGTCAAATGATCGATAGTTCGCCTACGTAGAAGCGGTTTTTGCTTCGATCGATAAGCTCCTTTTCTTTACCTTCTAATTTCTTCCAACGTCATCACAACCGGTGTACTCCCGGATCGCAATAAGCAGCCTTCGCGGTCATTATGATCAACAGCAAATTTTGCTGTAGCCCAGAGTCTGGCTGTAGCCCAATTTTTTAGGTTGTTGAAAACAGCAGAAACAGGAGTGTACAAAGTAATGGAATATGAAATTCCATACATTCATTGCTGCGGAGCGACCGAAGGGAGCGAGCAGCAACATAATCGGGATTTAAAGGAAATATATAAGGGGCGACGAATTCTCGAATTCATCACTTTTTACCACAATGCATTGCATTTAACCACACTTTTTACCACAATGCATTGCATTTAACCAGAGTGCATTGCGCCACGAACAACTCAAATAAAAACCTGACGGGGAAGTAGTGCATCGTTCGCTGCTTAGTTCTACAGCACGGTTAGAGGTCTTACCAAATTTTAAGACACGCAGGAGTCTTTCAGATGAATACGATGGTTAACTTGGGGAGTGGATTTCAATTCAAGAGCCTTTGACTCGTCCAGGTGTTAAACCTGACGAGAAGATGATCATTTCAATGATTTGCTCTTCGACTCCGCAACACGGGGGATAAACAAATTCCAGCTTCAACTGCAGCTTGCTAGAAGGTGATGTGAAAGTGAGAAAATGTCATGCAATGCTATTCTTAAGAAACTGTATGAGCCGAAAATGGATGTGATTTTGACCATTCGCTTCAAAATAACAGCGGAAATCGAGATAACAAAACATGTTTTGTGTCCTACTTTGCAGACCAGGACGTGTATCGGCGTTTTGAAAAGCATAATTATGTTCTTTCATTCATTCATTGCCATGGAATATGCGTTTACATTGTTTTTTCACTGTTAATAGCTCAGTTAATGCGGCTGGCGATCATCTTGCCGGCGGATGTTTTATAGAAAAGGAATAAAATGAAACACTTTTCCTAGGAATCACGTAGTCAGCTTCTGTGGTGTAGTGGTTAGGTGTGGTCGCGTCGAGTCGGTGGTGCCAGGTACGAGTCCTACCGTATTATTTATTCCTACTTTCTTTTTTTTTCCGTTTTTTGTGTTGTTGTTTTCTATAAATATATAGCTAAACAACTGTTACTTAATAAAGTGCAACAAACAGCAAGAAAAGTATTGTGTTTCTACAGAAAATATCGTGCACCGTATATTAAATATATGGATAAACAATCTGAATTTCTATTATTTCCTTCAATTTACTGTGGGAAAACCAGAGTTGATAACCACTTGAGCATTTTCTAAACAGCGTTCCCGCGAGTTCTTTCTATAGACTGATAGTAATTATTCTAGTACTTTCCAACATGTAAATAGGACATTCAATGTCATTTTTGATTCTTTTAAGTCTTACTGCCTAACTAATGCCAGTATCAACAGAATGTGCCGCAGCATTACTATCTTTTAGATACCCTAGTTTTTAAAATAATGATAGTAACGAACAGCCCGTGTTGTGCAGGGCGTCGGCGTCAAGTGGGGAAATACATACAGCCTGGAAAAAATAATTACATGTCACCTATTAAAATCTGCGTCAAGAAAGTTGCACTTTTTACTCATTTAGAGACACTGTAATTATAAGTGGTGTTGACAACCACTGTTAGCTGCTTCACATCGTTAGACAGTGTCCTCCACCCCGTGACGATATAAAAAGTAGTCCAAAGCTGAAAATCAAATCAAATGCCAGCTTTTCTCCATCCAGTTGCAAAGGAGAAACATGTTACTGCATTTAATTCCTCCCTTGGATAGCGAATCAATCAGAATGTTTAAGGACGGACCATTAGAAAAATTACGGGGGAGGGGTGGGGAATTTTCGAGCCGCATAAATTTGTTTTCGTTATTGTTTTCCTTGTATGTACTTTTTTGTAGCTTTGAATGGATATTTTTTAGGGTTAATGGTACCCTGCGAGCAGTGTTTTCTCCAGGCCGGACGCTACGCTTCGATGGGAAAGAAACCCCTGCGAGCAACCGTTTGCTTTTCCATCGAGCATGGGTCATGGTCCGTCCGGCTTAAAACGCCAAGATCATGCACTAGAGCCTTTGTATATTAAATAGAATGTGCTCAAAACTAAAGCATATACACTACTTTTTCATATATAAAAGAATGCAGTTTTCCGGTCTTGGTTGAATATGGCTTTTATTGTATTTTTAAAATTCTCAAAAACGAGAGAATTTATCATGATACTTTTTGCGGTTTGGTTCATTTCTTTTCTGCTTTTAGTGACAACTACCGTTCATCAAACTGTCATTAGCATGGAACATTTGGCTACCGGCTACTGCAGACTAAAACTTTGTTAACAGATTTTCAACACACAAAATTTTAACCTTTTCTTAATCTCAGCTTTCGGTTTATTCTTAATATATTCTTAAAATGTTGCAAATCACCAGGCTACATATTTTTATGAAATATATTCTTATCAGAAGAAAGAGTGTACAGTAAACTTATTTGTTCAACTCAGCGTCGCCACGATCATGTTCAAGTCTCCAGTAGAAAGAAAACTTATAATGGATTCTCCCAACATTTATAAAAACTAAGTGAATAATGACTGTTTCTTAGTGTTTTCGTGAAAACATTCGATTTTAGGATATCCCTGGAACCGTATGGACTACATTAGATGATCCAATTATTTTAGGGCGTGGGCGTGAAAAAGTTGAAAAAGATACAGGTCAGGGTCTCGACTTGACGAGATAATGATCGAGGTGTATTCTCGTTGATCCCATTTTATGACCTTGATCTTTCAATCGAACCTGTCCTTTCATGGCATATTCTGGTTCTTTTTTAAAAAACTTTTGACTAGCAATATATTAGATTCTGGTGGAAATGTTCGGTAGGTAGTGTCATCCTGAGCATACAGTTACAGGAAAGTGCTGAAACAGCATTATACTCACACTACCTACGCATAAAAATCGTCTTCCTAGATCAGCACGCAGATCAAGAAACTTTATTAAAAATGTTAAACACAGAGGTCAAGATATATAATTGTTTCTTCTTAAGTTTTCTCAGGAGCCCATCAAATGGAGCCTCCATCTCCCATACAAGCCCTTGGAGTCAACCCTTTCCCGAGTAGATTTATAATTAGAACGGTTCCCAGGGGAGACTTCGCGCGCCGACGGTGGCAAGAGCCAATCACAACGACTAAATGACACTGCTATTG